CCGCCGCCTCCCGCCGCTTGCCCGCACGGTCCCTGCGCGGCGCTGGCTCTGCCGTTGCCCCGGGGGTGCCGCTGCGGTGAAGTGGCCGGTTGGGGCCCCCCCGCCATCCTGGGGCTGCCGCAGGGGCTGCCCGCTTGGCCGCTTACCGGCGGCGCCGGGGCGAGGGCTGTTCTGCGCCCGGTGGAGCTGGATTTGGGGATAAGGAGCGACCTAGGGGGGGAAGGTGCCCTCCTCCTTTAAATAAAGCCCCCGACGTGAGATGCGGTGCCGCGGGACGGGGGCTGATCTGCTTGAGCGGAGGTTGTGTCGGCTGGTTGGGGGGGTCGGGAGTGTTTCTGCATGCCGGCTTGAGAAAGGGGCTTAAATAAATGCTCCGCTATTCAGGTGCCTGGAGGAGGATTGCTCGGAGAAGTTCCCGTTGCTGTGACTGAGATGTGCCACCTTGTTTCTCCGTGCTGTGAGGAGCGTGAATTGTGCTTCTGCGCTGCTTTATCCGTTTGGATTGGGGGATTGGGGGGGGAGGTTGTGATTTTGGTGTTTGAACCTTCAGGCAGGGCCGAAGGGGGGGCTGCGGAGCTTGAGCAAGCTAAATCGGTATCTTGTGTCTTCTCGAATCTGTCGTGTAGATGCTAGTCCTTGCAAAAGCGAAACCCGGCTCGTGCAGGGAAATTATTTTTTCAAGTGTCCTTAAACTCCTTTTGGAGCTTTTCTTTCAAGGTTTATGAAAAAGCAATATATGCATTTTTCCATTTGGGGGGGGGGGGGGAACCAGCAAAAAACGAAAACAAAAACCCCAAAGATCTTTGGAGTAATACTGGGAATCTTGTGGGTTTGTATTTAAAGTGAATCTATATGGGGTTTTTCATACAGTGAAGAGTTATTTTATACTGTTGCTTGTTATATATGTTTACATATGTTCATTGTTAACAGGTCTCTTATAAATGATGATGCTATAATTACTATGTTCATTGTTAACATGTTTCTTACAGATGATGCTATAATTACTGCGTAAGGTCTTTTCCCCTTTTAATTTCAGAGGGAGTAGTTTCTATGCTTTTCCCTCAGAATAAGGGTTCAGAGAGAAAATACGCTTCTAATAAAACTGTGTTTCAAGGGAGAGTAAAGTTCAAATGCTGTTATGTGAAGAGCAGCGCTTGTTGTGTGTTATGTTTTATGACTTGTTTAATAAATAGTACTTCCGAAAAGTTGTGGCTTCAGAAAGTACTTAAATTATTTTGATGCTTTCTTGATGATCCTTGAAAGAAGGTGCAACTTAAATCCGCTTTTATAGTTGTTATTTTTTACTTCCCTATACTTACAAAGTGATTCTAAATCTCATCTTTAAATTTTAGCAGTATGATACAAACAATGCTGGAAATACTGTTAGATTTAGCTGGGGCAACAACTTTACAGTTGTTCTTACGCGATGCCAACGTATTAAAGATACTGCAGTTTTATGATTTTTCAGGTTGCTTTTTGTTTTCCTTTTGTCTCATTTTTCATGTAGCTCCTGATAATCTTGAATGCTAAACCACTTGCTATACTTTGAAAAACTGTCTTTGCACTTTAGTTATAAAATCAGTTCAGTGCCCAAAGTGGAATGCAAGTACATAAAAATTGTTGCATTTTGAAGCTGATGGTAAGTCTGTATGTAATGGAAACAAATTCTCCTAGGGTTTTTGTTTTAAATAACATATGGGTCTGTTCTGTTTTGGCAAAGTTTTTAAGTACCTGCTGTGGTTTAGAGCATATGTGAACAATACATGTATGTGAAACTACAGCTGCTGAATTTGGCGTATTAAGTTTGACCTCTGCACTCCCCTTAATTCCACTGTATGCAGAATTAGGAAGAGTTTCAGAAAGTCTGACTTACTTTGTGTATGCTTCTCACAGGTTGTTTTATCAGCTAAGCACCATACGCAGGTTATCGAATCTGATGATGTTCCTGTTCCAGCTGTTTGTCTTTTCCGTAAAACAGACCTTAGGCTTTGGAGCTTGAAAGAGTAATAACTGCTTTCTTGTAAAGGACTCCCATTTTATTCTAAAATAATGAATGGAGGTGTGCATACGAAGAACAAATCGTTTTCCTGGGTAATCGTTTTGGTTCAAATAGAATTGCCCTCAGGGCATGGTATGGCTGGTATTAGTACAAATAGACCCAGTATTTCTTCTTTTGATATTTCTTCTTCCTATTGCATTGTAGATAATGTGTAAATGTCCACAGTCACACGTGAAATTTATTGTGCACTCATGCATTAAGTAATTTTTTGCCCAGGTATTAAATAATTGTTCGCTCATGCATAAACTAACTTTGCCCTCATGCACAAACTGATTGTGTACTTACAAGTGAACTTTTAGCTCATGCATGGACTCATGCCTTTAGGCATAAACTAATTGCTTGTGTGTAAACTAATTGTGCTGTCCTGCTTTCAGAGTGTGGTGTAGCCAGTGTGTGTTAGATGGACCTGGACCCTGATAATGTCTTCTTTCTACTCGATTGTGTAGACAACTTGTGAAGAGTGAAAGTGTCTGCTTTTTTGTGGGGGTGTGCACTTTCATACATGGATCTCCAGAGCCAGAAGTAGAAAGTAGTCAAGTCTTGGAGGAGACTTGCTCGGGGTTTTCTCTATGGCCTTGGCTGTAGTGCCACTGGGACAGGCACCCTCGCTCGCAGGCTCCATCACACCCCATCCCCACGAAGAACGGGATTTCCTGATTTTCTGTTTCCCAGGTAAACCTCCAGTGCACGGGGTCTCCTTAGAAACCCTGGGGTGGGTTGTGTCCCCAACGGGAGTAGCCCTGTTGCGGGCAAACCAGTCTTGACTCAGGGAATTTTTACTTAATTGGATTCATTGCCAGTTAGTACAACTTCTGGTCACTGATTTAAGTACTGAGGAAAAAAAAAAAAGCATAAACAATCATAAAGTTAGCAAAATGCCTTTCCTCCCCCTTCCCCAGGCTTAGTTAAAGCCAAATGCTTATACTTTCCCTTCCTAGTCTCAACTTGCCTTGTTTTTGCCAAGAGTTGTACTCAGTCCATCCCCGTTACTTTGGGGAGGTGACAAGTGGCACAGGAGGTTGGTTACATGCATAAGGATTTCTGGGTGCTTCTTACTGGTTTTGTGTCACCTGTGGGCTGCAGGCTCTCAGCAGGGTGTCTGCATCCCTGTCTGGGTCACCTTAATTGTCCGAATTGTGTCCTCCTGTGTGAAAGCAGGGAAGGCCGCAATTTATGCCCAGTGCAGGCTGCAAAGCCGGGGCTTTTTGAGAAGGCTTCTCTGGTGGGTTTTTTGTTTGGTTTGTTTTTTTTTTTTATGTGGAATACCCTCTCTTGGAGAGGGGCAACAGCTGCTGCAGTTTCTGAAGAGCCAGTTAATTATTTTTCTCAGGTAACCTCATGTTACCCAAAGGTCCAGGGTCAGCTGGGGGCGGGGGGTGTCAGTGCCCTCCCCTCAGCTTGCCCGAGCACATGCAGCTGCAGCTTGTCTGTGCTAATGAGACCCAGAAGCTTCTTTGCAGACACTGCTGGTCTCGGTGAGTTGTGGTGGGGCTGAGAGGATCTCCCTGCACCAGGGACCCACGCTCGCCTGAGCGTCCCTGCTAGCTCTTGGTTTTTGCAAGGTGTGTACCTCTGTGTGGAAACCAGACCTGGACCAGAGATTGCTTTCGGAGCAAAGCTGCCTGTGAGCCCAGCAGTTGCCTGGCAGGGGATTGACTGGGGTAAGCGATGGCCATTTCTTACTTCCATAATGGCCTGTTTTATGACTTGGCACCCTCACGTTGGGTTGCGTGAGGGGAGCTCTCTGCCTTCCCCGTTGTGGGTGCTCTTTTGTGTGTACTCCCACCAAATGCGTGGATAAGGCTACTTTTATGTGCCCTTAAGTAAAGATCACTCCTGCCTTGTTATTCCCCTTGGAAAATAAGAGATTATAAGGAGTGTATGAAGTGAATTTTGTAGGCCGAAGAAAACAGTCCAGGTGGTTTTCTGGAAGGCTGTGTGCCCATGGCTCGTGAGGCGCTCGGCAGCTTTGGCTTTGCGTGGGTTCAGGCAGAAGCATTCGTTGCCATTTTCTACTTCATGTGTGTTGTGGTAGCAGCTAGAGGCTTCAGTTCTGGGCTAGGACCCAGCTGAGGTAGGCAGAACAAAAATATGGTTTATATTTACAACTATTTACAGCAGCTGACAACTAAGTGAGCACTTTACTGTGTGTCTTGTCCGGCTCATGTACTCCTGCATGTAACAAGAAATAGATGTGTCATACTCAAAAGTGGACTTTATTGTTGTTATTTGTGGCTTTTTTTTTTGGTGGTTGTTATTTCCTGTTTTAACTTTCAGATGACTTGGTGACTCTAGTGTCTGAGGTATCCATTCTCATACAAGAGATGATGAGCACAGTGGAAATTATTAGCTACATCTGGTCCAAGGTTTTCAAAACTAACTAGTGAATTTGGGTTCTGGACACATGATAATCTCAGGATTTTTGAATATCAAGCATTTAAAAAAAAGTGTTTCAGTTTGTACTTCTACAGTTGCACTTAAATTTGGGAACAGCTAATTTATTCGTAATCCCCTGTCTTTGCTGATTTAGTACCTGGAAGTTTTTTTGTGTGTCTGAAATCCTTCAAAGATTGTCTTATCCTTCATCTTTGTGTACGATTCTCTGAGTAAGTAAATGGTCTTCCCAATTAAATTTGGCTGATAAAGGGGTTGGGGGAGGGAGGTGGTGTCAGTTTTTGGGGGTGGCATATTTTTGTTTGGTAGGTTTTTTTTGTAAAGTCTTCAGGATTTCCTGAAGCAGTTCTAGTGTTTGACTCTTCTGAATGTATTTAATTATAACTGTAGTTTACCAGCAAACTTCTGTGTAATAGTCTTCACAGCTAAAGCATTCAGTCCCCTGGCATTTCTATCCAAAAAATGTTGAGTGTCTAGAAAAGGAAACTGTGGTCAGTACATAAGCCTCTGTTTTATTCAACAACTACAGTAGAGACACTAGAAATGACATTTCAAGCTTTATATAATTACAAATACATAGCAAGAGCTCTGTTCATATGGTAGGTTTCTGAAGAACATTGCATCTGTGAGGCTCTGGTTGCACAGTAGCTGTGCTGTGGAATCCTAGGGCAGGCGAAACTAAATTCAGTGGTGTGTTAGTGCCTGTGTGCAAAGGATGAAAAGTTGTATGTGGTGCATGAAGTGCTGAATGTCTTGTAGGCAGTAAAAGCTGTGAAACAGAATACAGTGTATCAGGCAAAGCATGAGAAAGTAGTCTCAAGTTTCCAGTTAAATCCTGTTTTAAGATGAACATTGTGAACAAATAGTCACAGAAATTCTGTGCATCAAGAAATGCTAATAATGTTGTCAAATTATACAAGGTAATTATAGATGCAGGAGTTTTATGTTGGTTCAGCTCTTGATTTTCATCTCTTAAGAGATATACAGGTGTGTCAAGCTTTTGAGGACATATGGAAGAGTAAAGAGCTTTGTCTTCTCTCTCCGGTGGGTTCATGTGTCGTGTTGGCCCTTCATTACTTTTAGCAGCCTGTTTAAATTGGTAAGAGTGATTTATTTGCCAGCACTTTCTTGGTTCCACAGCTTTTCCATTTGCGATTGCCACTAGGTGGGGCGTTCGTGCCAGCACACCAGCGTTAGGGGTGGCTATTAATGAGGCTGAACTGGGTCTTTAGGGAAAGACCTCTGCATCTCCATCCCCTCTGGAAAATGAAACAATAAATACACGTTGGAGCAATGTTAACGGGAGATTCTAGGAGTCTGCAAATGGAGGTGGGAAGATGAGTTCAGTTGCCTTTTTCACCTGCAGTGGTTTCTCCTGCTCGCCCCCTCCCAGCAGCATCCCCCATCATGCTGGGCTTGATTCATTTTCCTTAAGGTGATGGGGCCTATGGGCGGGTCTGATCAGATGTAGGTGGAATTTATTGTAAGAATAGTAGGGATGCACGCGCCTGAACTATCTGTGGTCCAAGTATTTGGACTGCAGACCACACTGTAAGGGGCCTTGCTCTTCTTTCTCTCATGCTCCTTAGTGCACCTACTTTGTCCTTTTCTTGAGCAGGTTTGGATAATGAGCCACAGCCCCAATAGCAAGTAGTTAGGTCTCTTACACAAATACCTTTATGTGAATGCCACAGAAGAGTTAATCATCTCTTCTAACTGTTTGCCTTCTCCAGAGGCTCCTTCAATTGTCAGCAGAGATGGTCTCTTCCACACAATGATTCAGAGCATTTAGAGGAAGGCCCTGCTCTGAATCCCTGCTTGTAGGAGCATCTCTCTTCAGTTATTTAAAAAGACAAAACAAAAAAACCTAAGAGCCTAGGAAGACTAGCTGGCTAGCTCTGCCAACCAAGGGAGGTGCTGGGAATCCCCCTCAGTCTCATTCAGGCACTCACACACACATGCCCCCCCAGGTCCCCGCTTTACTTCTGTGGCTGGAACAGAAAACTGCAGTGTTGGCTGCATTTAAACCAGGGGGATTATTCATGGTTTGCATGGCTTTTTTAGCAGCTCAGAAGTACTGGGGCCTCTCCTGTGTTTTGCATCCCTCTAACAGCAGAGGGTCTTATTGGTAAGCCTCTTTCTCTTGGGTTTGTGACTGCATTTAGAAAACTTGACCTCTGCTTATTTTTCTTCAAGTTATAGCCTTTGGTCAACATTCTTATAGGTTTTATAAATAAACTACAGCACAGCATATCCCTTTGCAAGCAATACAGAGGCTTTGAAAATGACTAAGGAAATATTGCATTCCCCTTTCCCACCAGTAGATATCAGACTGTTTAATTCTTTTCCATTGTGTTGCCATCCATCTGTCTTCACTCCTTCCCCTTTTGGTTTTAGCACTTAAAAAATGGTTTTATGTGTTATTAACAGTAGAAAAGGACAATTCACCTGTGCACAGTGCTGAATTAGTACAGATGTAAAAGACTTCCGATTGACAAAATCCAGGCTAAGTATAGTGTAGAGAGATGCCATGCTGATACCTTAACATGTTAAGGCCTATAACTGATCCTGAGCTGTCACTCGCTATGGGATGCGCTAGGTCATTTTGTGGCTTCATATTGTGAACTGTTGCCCACCATGGCTAAGGTTGTGCATGCTTATCCCACCTGCATCTGCTTTAAATTTTGAGCACTGGTCTCTGGAAGCACTAGCCAAGCTTCATTTTGTGTCTGGCTTTTCCCCTTGCTTTCAACACCACCAGGATTCCTGTGACATGGCTTCTTTTCCTTTTGTTTTATCCAGTTAGTTGGTTGATATAAACATAGATGTGGTTACATGCAGAGATAAAGTTGGAAATACTTTATATGAAATGGAAGCCAGGGTGTTTGCTTGTTTGTCAGTGGTTTGCTTGGCCTTTCTGTCCCCTAGTAGTGTTTTTGCCCCTAACTGTTGTTTCTTCATCTCCACCCTTTTAATTTCTCAGCCTTATGTAGAAGACTCACAAGATAAGGCTGTGAGCAACGAAGACTCCTGCAAAATAGAAACCTTTCTGGCAGAAGCTGCCAACAGAGGGTGAGTTGGGAGAGCTGTGAATGCTGAGGGCTGTAGACAAGCTGATCCACTGTCCCCCTTCAATACATAGATGCGACTCAGAATCCTTATTCCTTAAATAGGTTGTGTATGGGCATAAAAATGATGTTAAGAGCGACTGAAAAGCAGCAGGTCATAAATAAAGTTCAGATAGTCTGTAGAATGGTCCTCAGTGGATATCTGAAGCTGTAAATCTGAATTCTTGGGGATTAAGGGGGTTACATACTTTTCCTTAAAGTTTAGAGCATAAAATGGATGCAGAGCTGCCTGTGGAGTAGTGTCTGTTTTGACCTGTTCCTTTTACTCTGGGACCTTCAGAGCAGGAATTAGTGTTGTGTTACCTCCCGAAGCTAGTCTATCTGTAGGACTTTTCCTATGCACGAGGGACCCTATCCAAGCTGCAAAGAGAGCAGTGCTTTAAAAAGCAAGCTAATAGTCATGAGTGGCCTACTGCAGAGGGGACAAATGGGCAACAGTTCAGTCGTGTGTCTCCCCCTTCAAAAAAATCCCTCTTTAGCCTACAAGAATTGTAGCAAAATTTGTTGAACTTCATGAACCTAGTGTGCTTAAAGTGGTGGCTGACAATGGTGGTGGAAAGGCCAGCTGCCTTAGCCAGGGATAAGTAACACAGAAGAAGAGAAGGGGAGGCAAGGAGCAATGCAAATTCGCAGCAGGAGCACCAAGAGAGCTCTGAGAGGGGCATGTATGGGAAATGATGCTTCGTGCATTGTCTGGAGGGAGGTAAGGTACAGCTCCCATTCCCCCAGATGCTCTGGGTGTGCTGCACCCTCTCCAGCTTGTTGTCCTCTCCCCAAAGTGCCTTGTTCATTATTCTCTGTATCGGAGGGCAGTTGCTGGTTGCAGTCAGTTTGGCATCTCTCTGAGCACGGCAGGGAGGCTGCAGACCCTGCGGAGATCTGGAACAGGCCCTCTGCCTGCCTTGCTCCTGCAGCATTTCCAGAACCTGGCTGCAAGATGCAGGGCTGCTGCGTGGTCAGAGGTCGCACCCAGCCATCTCCATCAGCACGAGTGTGATGATGGGAGTTCTTCACGCTCAGTCCTGCCTTTTCCACCGCACAGGAGTGGACAAGCGTGTGCTAGGACTCACGTTGATAGTGAAGTATAGCAGGTACTTCTGCTGTATCCAGGAAGCTCAGATACCTGTTGGGTTTAGCTTGGCTCTCTTAATATCAGCCGCACTCCCACCTCTCCCCCCTTTGCCACCCCCAAGACCAGCAGGGTCGAGTGAGATGCGTTTCCCTTCATGCTGCTGGATTTCCCCTCCCTCAGTGGCTCTCCGGCCATGCAACTCCGTAACCAGTTTCCCGTCAAGAGCAAGTACAGCATTTCTCACCGAGATCGTGGCCTGTGGTAAGGGGGTGGGAAGGGAAGAGGGGGTGGGGTGCGTGTTGGGGGAGCTGTTGCTGCTGCAGTTTCGTGCCTCAATCTGTATTCTCTCTCTTCTCTGCATGGCTTCCTGTTTTTTCACACCACTGCTCTTTGAAACAACAAGCTGCAAGCAGCAAGGAGGACAGGGGGTGGAGGTTAGTAGACTGGAAGAAGCCTCTGGTGACACTTGCAAAAGGTCTGGGTGCAGGCTCTGGAAAAGGCACTACATGCTTATGTATTTCTCTGGGTGCGATCCTGCCGCTGCGTACCGCAGAAGTGGCTTTCTGAGGAGGTGTTGCTGCGATACACGTGTGCTCCTCAGAAACGCGTTGCTCAGTGCCGCGCGATTGCAGAGGAACTGTCCGTTAATTTTTCACTGCCAGTTGTCTTCCCCAGCTGCTCTTGAATGGACAAAACTAGAATTTGTCCTGTACTTGGGCATCCTGTGATAATCAGTCAGATGTAGTCAGTGTCAGAATAATGCTGAAAGATGAACCACCAGTGCTGATTC